TTTCCCGGCAACGGAATATATATTTTTTATTTCCCTTTGTTCGGAAATTGTACTCCTAAAAGAAGGGAAATGAAAATGGCTTTGACTTTTGTTTTTTGTGCAGATATGATACATAATGATAAATCAAGGAAAAATTACTTGAAATAATCTCACACCTTCACGTCCTTTAAAAAATAATTTCACATTTTTACATGTTTCCAAAAAACAATTTCACTTTCATTGTCAAGCGTAATAATATCAATTTTTTGCATGTGTGCGAGTTTTTGTTCGCCGTTAAAAAACTAACACCAACCTAACTTACATTTTTGAAAATGTCTATTTTGCGCAAATAAATGAATGACCTGAGGTAAATTCTTTTTTATTTATTTATTTTTTAAATTTTAATTTTTTGACATTATACTTTAAGAATATATAATGGTACACTCTGGTTACGGATTTGACTCACTCTTTTAAAAATATAACATTTCACAAGTTTTGTGTGCCATTTTAGAAAATATAATAATAGTTAATTATCGAAAAAATTTAGATTGTCATTTCAAAAATAAATTGCGATACCAAAAAAATTGAAGTGAATTATAAAAAATTATTTCCATTCCGGTGAAAAAATGTTGTGCCATTTTCATAACTGTTGTAATATTACTTTTGAAAAAAGTGTTACTGCTCTAGAAAAAAATATTGTATAACAAAACGAGTTGTAGCCTGAAAAAGTTGTAAAGTCTATCGATAATCTGATACTATAATTAGAAAAAAAATCTATTTTTTTCAAATTGATACTAGTTATTTTTTCGATAATTGATAATTTGGTATGAAAGTTTTTCTGAAATATCATTAGAAAAATTTTGAAAATAGTACACCATTATTTCTCCAAAATGAAACTTTTTTTTTGTAATTCTAAGCAATTTTTTGAATTGTAATTTTTCTTGAGCGACACTCCAAATTGTTTTTTCATAATCCACTTGTATTAGTAGTCTTATTATTTCAAAAATGTGATTACAACACTTGTAATTGTTTTATAAATCACTATAAATTGTTTTTTAAAATAACATTACTAAAGTTGCGAAATGGCACTACAATTTATTTCTCTAAAATGACACTAGTTTTTTATATAGCTTACTACTACTTTTCTCCTGAAGTGTGATTTTTTTCCTCTCGAGTAGTGCACTGATTTTTTTTATATTGCTCTATTATATTTTTTTCTCCAAAACAGAAAATCAAATATGTGAACTATTATATTTCTAAAGTAGTGAGACAAATCTTTTGCAATAGTGTACTCTTATATTTTTAAAAACATAATTTTAGAATATCAAAAAATGAAAAAAAAAGAGAATTTGTCTAAACTAAGCAAAAATATACTCAAACTGACTAGGATGGCGGGAATAATATTATCGTAACATTATAATAAGGATTATCGGATAGGTTATTAAAAAAATAGTGTGCCTCATAAGAAATGAAATTTTATCAACAAAAAAAAGAAAAGAAAGCAACAAGTCAAACCACCAAACACTTTGTGAATGTGATTAGTGCGTGTAAATGTGATTAGTGCGTGTACGCGGATATGTATATTGTGGGACAAGAACTTATCACCATTCCGTTGTAGTCTAGTTGGTCAGGATACTCGGCTCTCACCCGAGAGACCCGGGTTCAAGTCCCGGCAATGGAATTCCTTTTTCCTTTTTTTTTAAAACATTTTTTTACTCCGTATTATTCTTTCCATCGGCGGGAAAGAAAACAGTGCTACAGTGTTCGTAAAAGAAAAAGTCACACGGCTGCAACAACTGAAACTCTCCCTCCCAATTAGGTTTTCCGATTCGTGAACGATGGCGAGGCAAAGGGGCGGCAATGGGAGAGGGATGGAGGAGAACACGATGGCGATTCTCGACACCTCCGGCTTCAACCGCGACTCTCGCCACCGCAACGACGATCGTATTTCTCCGATTCCGTTTTGTTTTTTTGCTCAATCTCGTCTGACTTATATATATTGCTGCTCGTGTGAATCTTAGATATAGCTTTCTGTTGATTCCGATATCAGGGCTTGCTTTTCTGGAAGCTGTCCGCTCAGCTTCTCTGGTTCCCGAAGATGCAGTTGCTCCGACTAAGTGCTTAATCCTCTCTGTCTTTTTTTTATTGTTATTGCATATAATCATAGCAGGCACATACAACCTGTGTGTTTTTTGTACATCTTACATGTTTTTATGGGGTGTAGAAGAGTGTAAGTAATGTAAGGGTAAGGGAGGTTATGATAAAGAAAGGGGATAGGAAGTGTAATTTGTTACGAGTGTAAATAAACATGGCGCAATAATTGAAATTGGCAAAAATGTCTTCACATCTTGTGTTCCAACTCCGGTGAAGAACATCAATCATCATCCAGTTGAACAATGCTCCAATTTGTGTGGAGGACGAATTGGAGTTGAATATATTTTTCTTCTTTTTACCTTGCTTACACTTCAAATTGGGTTGTAATTTGTAAAAAAAATTTAGAGTTGGAATGTTAAGGAGGGTTATACCATTTACTGCATTGCAAGGGGTGAATTGTTTGTAACAGTGAGTGGTTCTTGTATACTCCGTAATTCAGTTTTTGCTGCATTGAGGTATGAAATGCCTTCACTGTATGTTTTTGTACAATTGTGTGCAAATATACCCTCATAAACTAGAAATCCAAAATAATTTGGTTTACCAATCACCCCTATATGTGGTGTCTGTCATAGTTAATGCTTTGAAATTACTGAACAGGACAATGTTTGGTGCGATTTTTCAAATTCTAAAGGACGAGAGTACGTTGGAACTTGTAGTAGCAAGCTATCAACTACTAAATGAGTTAGATAAGGTAGCTTCTTCTTCCTTTAAAAAAGAGTATTTAACTGCCCGTGTTTTCAGATTTTAGAACCTCATATTTTATGCATGTGTACATGGGATGCCCTTTTTGTCCCAAGCGTTTCCCTAGGCTGCACCATCCCATGGTTGAGAAGTCAGATTCGTCTTCACCAACTCATTGTAACGCACTTGTTGTGGATGAAGAGGTATTATTGTCACTCATAAGTCGTGACTTATGATCCATTTGTATCAATTGAAGATCAAATTATATATCTCATGGTTTATTCCCTTTATTGATGTCATCATGGCAGGCTTGGTCTCCATTTAATTATGGATTAGATAGCGAAAAGGTGGAATCAAGTACTGACTCAGGATTATCAATTAACCCCTTGGTGAGTCAGACTTGCTATTACATACGTAGCTTGTGCTATAGTATTTAATTCTACCTCTTATATGTTTCTTATTTTTTGTTGTAATCTGTTGTATGTGGCTTTTGATGAACTGCATTCAGATTTGGCGTCAAGTCTCTTTTTTTGGCACTTATAAAGTTTTTTTTTTGTATGTTTAAAATTTAGGAGTTTCATTCTCTGGTTCAAGGCATTGGTGAAGTTGTCGAGGATAAGCCTGAGGCATCAGAAATTAAGGTAAAGTCACAGGAATTGGAGTTTATGCATGTTTTTATTTCCTTATAAATGCATATAACCTTATTTTTTGGCTGGTTGCCTCGCTATAACTTGTGTCTCTTCGAAATCAGTTCAAGAGTGTTCGGGAGGCCTGCCTAGCTGCTATTTGTTTTACTACCATTATTTTTCTTGAAAACCTAGGTTGATATTTTATTGTTAAGGATAGCATTGTAATGTCTAATCCCTTTCTTAATGGAAATGGCTGCATCACGTATCTGCCTTAATTTTTCTGTTGGGAAGCCATTGGATTTCTAAACGTTTTAATATGATTTTAAAACTTTGGAACGTGAAAGTCCAATGTTGTATAATTGTGTAATCCCTCTGTCCCATAAAATTAGTTACTCTTTCCTTTTTTGAATGTCCCAAAAAATACTTTACACTTACTTTATAGTTTATTCCCTATTTTGGTAATGAATACGTGGCTACCAATAATTCTCCCTCTAAACAAATTCTAATCATACACTTTTTACTTTTCAATAACTCAAACTCCATGAAGTCAAACAATCAGGAATTTTATGGGACGGAGGTAGTAGTTTTTAAAATCTATCTTTGCATCTGGTGAATTGGTGGCATCCAACCTAATATGTTTTGTGCAGTGTGAATAATGTCATGCAACCATTATTATTTTCTGTTCAAGTGCATTGCATTATTGGAGTATTGGATTATCAATTTGATAGTATGATTTCTTTTTCTGTGCTCACTATGTATATATGCCTAGTTGTATTACTTGTATCATCCTCATCTTCCCTTATGTGTGGTGAAACCTTGCGTTAAATGTAAAATAAGTGTAGCTTTAGAGAAAAGAATTGTTCTCGAATAATTGTTGCTTTCAGGTGTGAAGAGAGCATTAAGTGCTCATTATCCACTATTACCCTCTTCGATCTTTAAATGAAACACTACTTTATATATCTTTAATGCATAAATGAGGGGGTGCTCTATTCATATTATAAGATATTTTTCTTGAAGAGACTTATTGTTTGTTTAATATGTGTGGAAAGGTCTAAAGTAGCACTTATTTGACAGCAGTGGAAATATATTTAAATGTGGTGTCCTGATAAAATTTTCTGGCCAATGTGTTGTCTTATATGAATTCATTAAAACTTAATGAAGTGACCTGATTCAATGACAGACATTGAGGAGCATGCTGCTGTTTCAGTATCTTGTAAATGTTCTTGAAAGAGATTTTTTACTTCGTAATAGTGCATACAAAGGTACAATATTTCTAATTGGTCTCCAATATTCTTGTATTTTTATACTTCTCAGATTAAACTGTTTGAACCTGTGGTTTATCTAGCTATTCTTTGTCTGGCAGAAAATATGAACTGGAAACTTGTAAGAGAATCGTTGCTTAACATGCTTCTGGTATGCTTCAGCAGTTCTCTAATTTGAATCATTCATGTGTTCTGTGTGTGCTTTGACTGCTGTCTCATCAATGTCATTTTATTGTTTGCCATCATGAATTTTACAGGGATCAAGAAAAGTAGTCTATAAAAACTTTGTCAAGGACTGCCTATCTTCAATGTGCTCTATGTATCATGAAATGAACAATACTCAAAGTATGACAATGACAAATTCTAATGCTGCGGTTGCAATGGCTTTACCTGAAGCAAAACATTGTGCATGTGTTTCCCTGAAGAAACTCCTATTCTTGGTTAGTAATAAGCTATATATGTTTAGGAACTATCTTGAGGGATGTATGATTCACGGAGTGTATGATTACATTAGATAAAATAGGATGGCCTCCTAAAAGGTAAGATGAGATTACTGCAATGGAAGATTATCTTTAGCGGTTATTTGGTTCAAGGGTATGATATTACTTGCCATGAATTTGTTAGGATATTCCAAAATATTACCATGGAAATTCTTACAACACCTATGCATTCCAAGGGAATCACATTATCCTTGAGCCTTGACACATTACCTCAGTCTCCTACATATTTATTTCAGCATACACTTTCTCACATTACCAAGGCAATGTAATATTACTAACCATGGCTTATTCCCAACTCTCAAGTCAGATAATTGAGCTTGATTCATCACGGAACAAAGCAGATTCTAAAGGCTTGACCACTAGATCTGATGGCGTAAGGTATTCCCTTTCCGTTTTTTTTTTATTTTTATGTATGGGTGTAGTATAGTTTTGAGTTGGTGAGCATTATGTTTAGCAAAAGAAGCTTATTACTGGGAATACTGGCTATGGTGCAGAACCCCTGTCTCGGAGATTATTCTGGATGAAATAACTTATAATAGTGACACACTCTCATTTCTTCAGGTACTTCTCACCTATCAATCTATCACTACGCAATCAATCTTACTTTCAACATTGATGATGTCATGATTTTCATGTCTTGATCCAATTTAATTAAGCATCAATTAGTCACTGATTGGGTTTTTGAAATCATTTGTATTGCTGATGGTGTATCATAATCCTCACAGATATTTGATGAACCAGGACAGAAGCTAAAGTTAATTGTGCAGTATTTCCAGAAGTACATTCCCAAGGTAAATTGTCTCTCTTATGCATATCTGAACAAAATTTGCAGCCAAACTAGAGTGCTCATTTAAAACTTCACAATATTTTATATTTTTAATTAAATGTCGTACACATTCTTCTTTTCAATCCTTTGGTTGCTTTCCACGCAAAACAGTACTTCCTCTTTCCCTCTTTTTTCTTTTCTCGTGTCTCAAAAGTATCTTCTCTTTTATTTTCAGGGAAGGATTCTAAACAAAATTAACACACACTTTCCAGTTTTCACTTTATTAAAAAAACATGAAAAGTCAAATTGGGATATAAGAGGGACAGATGGAGTAGATTTTAACAATCTTGGGTTCTTAGAATAAAATTACTCTATGCAACAGTTTGTATGTTTGTGCAAATCTTGAGAAATTTAGTCTGTCAATTATAGCTTAGTATTAAGAAATCACCCTAAATAGGAGTAAAACATAGAGAAAGTACCAAAATAGGAGATATATCTTTTTATCCCCAAAATAGAAGTTTGCACTGTGATAATGTGTCCTTCCATCATCTCCGATGGAGCCAAAATTTCACCATTTTTTGGCTTTGGGGTGTGATGGAATAAATCAAAATGGATCTCTAAACTAGCTGCGCTTCTTTAATTAATGAAGTAGCAGTTAGTCAAACAATGCAACTTTCGACGTTGAGCCGGGGGTCTCTTTGGAAACAGCCTCTCTACTTTCGAGTAGGAGCAAGGTCTGCGTACACACACCCTCCCCAGACCCTACTCTTGTGGGATTTAACTGGGTTGTTGTTGTTTGTTTGTTGCACTGTGATAATGTGGCATTGTATATGAATATTTCACAATACTTTTTGGTATTGTATATTGGCATTATTGGCATTGTATATGCATTTTAACTTACAGTTTGGGAATAAAAACATGGAACTCCTATTTTTGTATATTTTCTATGTTTTACTCCTACTTTAGCCTTTTTTTAAACCAATTGCAAATATATTAACAGAAACAACATTATACATCCAAGCTTTACCATCCTCACTTCTACGTGGCCTAAACAAGCAGGCTACAAATTCTATCTACAACATTTGGGTTTAACAAAAGTATAAATCTGATATTCAATATGATCAACACTATCAGGCATCTGCAGCTGCCATTCGTTCTTTTCCATGAACTATGCTATTCCTTGCTTTCCATGTAGCATAGCAGCAGGCAGCAATAAGGGCTGCCTTCAACTTCCCCATCTTCCTGTTGATACATGTCAAGACCTTGTTCTCCATTTCCTTTATAGATTGAGCTGTGATATCTAAGTTATCCCAGTCGGATATCTCTCTCAGGATCTTCGAAGCATAATTACAAGTGCAAACTAGGTGGTCAAGGTCCTCTTCA